AAACGACCGACTAAAACGATATGAACAGTCATGCCGCTTGCCAAAAAAGAATGGGTGGGCTAGCGTTGCGCCAAACTCAACCCCTCTTCTCTTAACACGCCCCACCACCCACGGCGAGCAGGACTGTATAGGATGACTTCGGTTGGTATCCGGTAAAGGAGCTGCAGGAAATACGTCTTGCAAATGGAAAAATGGGTGAAGCGTCAGGACATCAGTGGCTCACAAAATTTCTTCTGACCTCAACCTTAAAATACAGATTTTGAATTGCGTAAGTTTCTCCCTCTATCCCTACCACCTCCCTGACTCGCCCATAAATCTAAAAAGCACATAGCGGAAGCTGTTTGGCGGGATCTGATCCAAATTCTGTATCGTTAGGGGAGACCACATAAGTTTCTTCTATTCAGTGCCGAATACATCCAAGTTCTCAGGAAAAACGTTGACTCGAATCTTGGGTTAGACCACTCCAATAGCTGTTCCAACAAGATGGCTTCCAGAATGCCGCTGAGACTCCAAACTGAAGCGGAAGGCATGGCGCACCTTAAAAAGGATTGGTCAATCCTTAGGTTGCAATCTTTCATCTAACACTGTCAAAGAATGCTGCTGGTCGGCGCAGTTCGACGACGACGGGGGGGGGAGGACATTTTGCACTCTGCTACTTCCCATCGACGTGTCGACCCATCTAGACAGCCTTTTCTTTAGTTGGTTTTAACATGATGGCTTGACGACCTTGTTCCAGCTTCACAAGAGTTCACAGGTTTCGCCAGAGTGAGACATGTAAACCGGAACTAAGGAAGCAATGATAGTACAAATGCCTCCTCCCTCCCCCTCCCCGTAGCCAAACTGCGCCCTGCTGCTCCCTTAACTAATACTTTCTCACTGGTTCTAGCGTTCGTTTTCACAGACGCATATCGTCGACAATGGTGTGTTGCCGAACGGAAGCGTTTAGGGTGGTTTACCTTGTGTGTTTGGGTGGTCTAGAAATGTACCTCCCAATACCCAAATCAGTAAAGAAGTTTCTAAGAAAATCATTCGAATTCGCGGTCCAAGTTAAAACTATGGTTTAGTGGTGTGAGAATCAGGTCTAACTGTATCTCTTCATGCCCATTTGCTTTGTAATCTTACAATCCGTGAAAAGAACTGAATTAATCCCAACTGTAAAACATATTATCTCGAAAATTATCACTCAAAACTCTTTGTTCCTCCCTTACCTTACTGATGAGCACAAGGGGAGGATTGCTAATGGCTTACTTTCCCTCTGAGGGCATGTGCGAAAAAAACTAAGCTTAATTCTTTGAACCCTTCTGTTAGAGTTCAAAACAGAGATTTATTCTACTCTATTTTTTACATTCTATTCTGTGAAATATGTAGTTGAATGCACATTCAAAAAAATTCCAGTAAAGTAAAACAGTATAATAACTTACACTTTTGTTAGATCGTATTATCACGGATTATGGTAATCTCCTTTTTCAGCATGCGTGAACATGACTGTAGCTGAGACAAATCCAGGACTTGGTAGCATCAAGCCAGCCTCTCTGAGGGCACACAGCACCGTATCTTTTACTTATATATCTAATAAATGATTTCTTTGGTATAT